CACTCCTGTCATTTCCATTTTATTTCTTTAAAACCAGACATATGCTAATTAAAACTTAAAAGCATAAAAAAACTAATTCCATTCCCACCTAGAAGTTGTTCTTCCATCCGATCATTTTCGTAGCAAGTGGTATTAGTCAAGGTCTTCCCCGTCCATAACTATAATGAAAGTGCAAATTCTAACAAGTTGTTATTTAATCCAATAATTTTCCTAACAAGTTGTAAGTCAAGGTCTTCCCATTCGGAACAAATACGAAGTGCAAATGCTAACACGTTATTCCATCTACTAATTTTCCTAACAAAGTTGTAATTCAAAGTCTTCCCCATCCACAACTGTCACGAAGGTGCAAATGTTAACAAGTTTTATCATATCCAATAATTTTCTTAATAAGTTGTAAGTCAAGGTCTTCCCAATCCGTAAGGACCATAACAAATAAGAAAGTGCAAATGCTAACAAGTCGTTATGCCATCCAATAATTTTCCTAACAAAGTTGTGTAAGTCAAGGTTTTCCCGTGCATAAATTCATATGGATGAGAAAAAATGAAAAAATTGACCAACTTAAAAAATTTAATGATAATCTTTTTTTAATGGTTTAATAAAATAAAAATCTTCAGATTTAGGAAATAAACCAATTATAATTCTTCACATTAAATTAGACAACCAATGACTTTAATTCAATTTTATAGCCCGGTTAGCTTAGTTGAAAATTTCATTTTCGGTTTCTAAAATTATTATTTTTTTAATCTTAGGTTCCACAATTAATTTTCTACAATTAATTTTTTTAAATCTTCAATGATTGCCATGATCTTAACAATAACTAATGTTTCATATTTATAAAAAGTTATCAGAAATAGCTCTAATTAAATGACTTCCAAGGATGAGTTGACCTTTAAAAAAATAAAATGTTGAAAAGAGTTTTTAGTATGAAAATCATTTTCTAAAACTCCTTTACAGTATTACCATATTTTAGTGAGAAATGATTAATAGACAATTTTTACATACAATTTCTTTCGTTTAACATTAACCGTCATTTAATAATTGACTCTTTTACTTTACTAAGATCCATAACATTTGTATATATTCACTTATTTAATAACATACAGAAGTTATAAATAAAAATTATACAAAAAAATTACC